ACTTCCCTGGCCCTGGGGGTGGCCAAGGCCAAAGTGCCGCCGGCAGCGGTAGTGGCGCCCTCCTTGCTGCTGGGCGGACCCCCGCCGGTTGCCGCACCGTCCTTGCTGTTGGCGCCCGGGCTGGGATTGGCAGCTGGGGTGGGGCTGGCAGGAGAACCCCCGGGCTCCAGTGAGTACAAGACTCTGCTGGTGAGTGGCCTAAGCCCAGCTCTGCCTGATCAGCTGCTGGAGGACGGTCTCTTTCGCCAGTTCCAGAGGTTTGCCAGCGGTGGTGCCAGTGATATTAGCGTGAAACTCTCCCATACTCCTGATCTTGGCCGCGTTGCCTATGTCAACTTCAGGCATCCGGCAGATGCTCGAGATGCCCGGCGTCATGCCAGAGCCCGACAACTTCTCCTCTTCGATCGCCCCCTCAAGGTGGAGCCTGTGTACCTGCGAGGGGGGCGACGAAGCCGCACACCCCCACCCACCCCATCCCCTGAACCATTGGCATTTCTGCCCCCTATCCATGGTGTTTATCCATATAAACAGCGATCACTGTCACCTGTTGCTAGCCCTTTGCTCAGGGAGCCCAGACCACGACATGCTCAAGCTGCTGCTGCAGCCTTTGCCTTGGAGGCAGTTGCTCTGGGACTCTCCAGGGAGCGGGAGAGGGTGCTGGATTACTATGGGCTATATGATGAACGCGGCCGCCCCTACGGCTACCCCATAGTGGCCGAGGAGGATCTCATGCCTGAGGATGATCAGAGAGCCACCCGGAATCTCTTCATTGGTAATCTAGACCACGGTGTTTCTGAAGTGGAACTGAGACGTGCTTTTGAAAAATATGGCATGATTGAGGAAGTGGTGATCAAGCGCCCTGCACGGGGCCAAGGTGGGGCCTATGCTTTCCTTAAGTTCCAAAACTTGGACATGGCACATCGGGCTAAGGTTGCCATGTCTGGCCGGGTTGTTGGCAGGAACCCTATCAAAATTGGCTATGGGAAAGTTAACCCCACGACCCGGCTCTGGGTGGGTGGCCTTGGCCCTAGTACTTCCCTTGCTGCCCTTGCCCGGGAATTTGACCGCTTTGGTAGCATTAGGACTATTGACTATGTGAAGGGGGACAGTTTTGCCTATATTCAGTATGAGAGTTTGGATGCTGCCCAGGCTGCCTGTGGACAGATGAAGGGTTTTCTTTTGGTTGGGCCAGATAGAAGGCTTCGAGTGGACTTTGCCAAAGCAGAGGAGGCACGATATCCTCAGCAGTACCAACCTGCACCACTGCCTGTACACTATGAATTGCTTCCTGAAAGCTACAGCAGACACAGGAGTCTAGAGCAAGACTTAAGGGTCAGAGACAGGACTCCTCCTCATCTCCTCTACTCAGACAGGGAAAGGAGCTTTCTAGAGGCAGATTGGGCCAGCCCTGTGAAAAATGCTGAGCGCAGAAATAATGCAGAGACCTACAGCCGGTCAGCACGCAGCCGCAGTGGAGAACGTTGGGGCAGTGATAGTGACCGCAGTGTGCTCAAGCCTTGGGAGGAAAGGCGTAAACGCCGTAGCCTTTCCAGTGACCGTGGGAGGACTGCCCATTCCCCTTATGAAGACAGAGGCAGGACAAAGGCTGGTGGGCCAGCTTCAGATCGCAGCCCAGATAGGGTTCGCAAGGAGAACCACACAACCGAGTCTGCTGCAGAGAAAGAACAGAATAACTCTCTTCAGAACAACCGGCATGCATCAGAGGAGAAGCCGCATCGTGAAGCATCTGATCCTCCTCAGCCTAAAAAAAGGGACAGCGAACGCAATCATCGAACTGGTGAGTCTGAATCAAAGACTCCTGAAGAGTCAAAATCTGAAACAAAAAAACTAAAAAGCTTGTCAGATTATGCCCACACATTGCAGCTTGCCTGGAATGGGCTACTTGTCCTGAAAAACAGTTGCTTCCCTACATCTATGCATATCCTTGAAGGGGACTTGGGAGTCATCAATGGACTTCTGAAAGACCACTCGTCTGGTGGAAAGCTAACACAGCTCAAGATCGCCCAGAGACTTCGACTTGACCAGCCCAAGCTGGATGAAGTAACTCGACGTATCAAGCAAGGAAGCCCTAACGGCTACGCTGTACTGCTGGCTACCCAGGCTGCCCAAGGAGGGGCAGGTGCCGAAGGGACCTTCCCTCTGGTGGAGCCTGGCTTGCAAAGACGGCTTCTCAGGAATCTGGTCTCTTACTTGAAACAGAAACAGGCTGCTGGGGTGATCAGCCTTCCTGTGGGAGGGGCAAAGGGCAGAGACAGCACTGGCATGCTTTATGCTTTCCCTCCTTGTGAATTCTCTCAGCAGTACCTCCAGTCTGCACTAAGAACATTGGGAAAGTTAGAAGAAGAACATATGGTGATAGTGAAAGTCAAAGACACTGCCTAGCATATACTCACTCTCTCTCTCTCTCTCTCTCTCTCTGATTCCATGTTTTCTTTGTTTCTTACCCCACCTGGTTGCTTTCAAGGCCAATTACTTTGAGTGGGGCCCCAAAAGACCTGCAAGAAAATTCTAGTTTTATTAGTTTCTAATTAATTTTAATACCATTTTAATGAATCCCATTTTATTTGTTTTTAATACGTGACACTGTCTGCTGTGTTCTTATTTTTTAAATGTATGGGAAGTTGTCAGTAAAGCCTTGTTCACCGATGGATTTTTAACTTTGTGCGGTGTCCTGGTTTCTGTGGTCTGGCTTTGGCGGGTTTTGTGTCCCAGTAGATACAAGTAATTGTTTCAGCCTACTTGAGTTCATCACAGCCCTTCCTTCTGCTGTTTGATAGGATTATACTGGTTGTGTGATCTTTTGATTTCTTTAATAGTTGAAGCCGGGTTGCTTCATTCCTTATTGGTTAGCTAGCTGGCCACATATCCTTTATTGGACCAACTTACTCTTGGCGAAGAAGAGTTTTTGCAGTCTTTGTAACCAAAGAGAATAGTGAAGCTCAGTTAAAGGCCTCAACAAATCTTGGTGCAATAAAAGAGGACAGATACCTTGACACACACACCCATTGTGTTTATTTTTGGGTTGAATGTAATAGTGCAAATTCAATGCTGTTTTTAGCTATCCTGTTCAGTAATAGATGTAGGCTCCTCAGGAAGACAGATAACCAGGCACTTGAGTAGAACGTGATAGCAAATTTAAATAATTGTTTATCAGTTCCTTTAAAATAAATGGAAAAAATGCTTTGTGGACACATGTACACTAAATTGTAGTAAGATCTCCAAATAGTTTATCTCCTTAATTATGCATAACAGGCAGGTAGAGGTAGGAGTCTGCTGAAAGGAGAGGCTCTCCTGCACACTTGTTCTTCCTTGCTCTCCCTTCCTTGGGATTATCACAAGCTATTGCATGACCCTTCTTCAAAAGGTCCACTTTGCAATCTGTCATTCCTTTCGATTAGACTGCCCTCCTAAACCCTTAGTGCACAGGAAACGGAGTCATGTCCAAAAAGGGGTCATTTTTGTATACAGTAGGAAACCAGCACTGGCTTATAACAGGTACCTGAGGGTTGCATAGGAAAATCCTATGTATATTTTAATGTGTATAAGTACCTTTTGTGAAGTAGTGTGGACTTTAGAGATTTCACCCGGTACAAGAGGCGGTGGGTATGGTAAACATATGCCACATTCTGCACCAAAGACCCCACCACCATTTGTGTCTAAATTATGCAATTAATACATTAGCTAAACTTGCATAATTGTCTTAAGAATCTGAAATGTTTTATAAAAGGAGCTAAGAAGAATTGGATAGCTGGATACTACAGAGCCATGAAACTAGGCAGAGTGCTTAAGGCTACAGTTCTGGCTTCTGAGGTTTCAGCACACCAGTCCACCAGCTTCTATCTATGTCAATTAAGGCTAATAATATAAATTCAGGATTTAAAAAAAAGATCTTGAGAAGTTCAGGATAACTGATTCTCTTATTCTATACTGAAATCATGGAACATGCAGAATACTCATTAAAACTGGAATCCGTTGGCACTGTATAGAGTCAGACTAACAAGTTTTCATGATTCAGAGTTCAATTTATCAAATGAACTCTCACAAGATTATCCCAGCATGAAATTTGTTAAGTCATTGAGGTGCTACTGGACTCCTGTCTTATTTTGTGGCTAAGGTAAAGGTAAAGGTTCCCTTGCTCGAAAGCCAGTCGAATCCGACTCTAGAGTTGCGGTGCTCATCTCCGTTTCAAAGCCGAAGAGCCAGCACTGTCCGAAGACGTTTCCGTGGTCATGTGGCCGGCATGACTAAACACCAAGGCGCACGGAACGCTGTTACCTTCCCACCGAGGTGGTACCTATTTATCTACTTGCAATTTCTTGCTTTTGAACTGCTAGGTTGGCAGGAGCTGGAACTAGAGACGAGAGCTCCGTCATGCGGCACCCGGGTCTCGAACTGCTGAACTACCTTACTAATCTTGAATTATAATCCTCAGTGTTAGTAAATTGCTGATTTGAAGAGGGATAATTGAACAATATTTAAATCATTGTTGATACACCTCTGTAACATGCTTGATCCACAGGTCTTGCACCTTCGCCTGGAATCCTGTAGGCCTGGCTCTGACTGTAGTTAGGTTTGGTTTTATGTGCTTATTGCAAGACCCTGCAACAATTCAATTTGGTACTGCCACACCTATGTTTTAAGCCAAAACTCATGACAAAAGAAGCAATAAATAAACTACAGATTCCAGTAAGGACACTGTGTCTAAAGTTACTAAAGCATTTGTTTATATTCCATTAGATAATGGGATAGCTTGAGTCTCACTGAATGAGAAGCCCTTCATTCTGCTGAAAAGGGGGCCTAGAGCACTGAGCTAGGGAATCGTTTTCCCTTCTCCCACCCACCCACTTCAATAGCTTTAAAAATTGTTTCTACATATTTGTTCAGTTACTTTCCAAAGAAGACCTGATGGGATGGGAGCTTTAAGAAATAGTACTTATAATGCTTTAAGAGGACTCTTCTCTCCCCCCCCCCCAGATTTCCAACCCCTTCTGAAGAGAAACTAGGTCAGGTAGCAATAGTTTACTCACCTTAAAAATGCTATTGTAACTAACTTTTAAAATGCACACTTGTTTTTCCTGTCTCTAAAGTAAATATCACATCACACTTATTTATAGCTGCTTCTATGTAAAACAAAAACGTGGAACACAAAATTAATTTTGTTGTAGCATGAGTGAGCTAACTTGTGTGCAATGTTCCCTCTAAGCTGAGGAGTCTTGTGAGCAAAAATTCCACTTTGTGAGCTACTGGCATTAAAGTTCTGAGCGAGTGATTTGGCTGCTGCATAAATTAGTTTGCTTTGGAGCCATCCTTCCTGAGCGAAGACAAAAATGTGTGAGCCAGAGGCTAAAAAACTGTGAGCTAGCTCACACTAACTCAGCTTAGAGGGAACCCTGCTTGTGTGTAACCCTAAATGCAGACAGTCAAGTCCAGGAAACACAGGCACGATAGAAGGGAAAGAAATGGTGCAGGTATTAGCCATCCCAACTCAGTACAATGGCACTTTACCCCAAGCATATTAGGTACTCCATTAGAACCAATACATTCACCACAGTGACCAGTCTTCTTCCCAATGACCAAAACTATGAATGACTCACTGGTTAATTATAAACAAAGGGCATGTGTATCTATCTAAAACTCAGTAAGTCCATCTCAGCAAAGATTTTATCCTAAGTGCACATTGGGGGGGGGGGGGAGAGCTAATGAAATGAAGGCAGAATGCAAGAAGGGCTTGAGTAAATCTGCACTATACCTAATCTTGCAGTGTGAACAGGCTGTTAGCATTTCATGTTGATATCTGTATCTAGGTCTTGTAGCATCAGTATCCACCTTTTTTGCCTTTGGTATTAATTTCACTGATAGAAAAATGAAGTTATCTGTATCTAGAACTTTAATAAACTTAGCAAGATAGCCCTCTCAGCAGTGGGAGGTTGGAAGAAGCTGACCAGAGCTGCTTTATTGCAATGTAGATGGTGTCTAGGCTCTGCCTAGTAAACGTGTCATTTATTTATACTGGATAGGAGGCCAGATATTGGAACATTTTAGCAATACTAGAGATGCAGTGGTCACAACCTGTCACTTCTAAAAGCCTTTGTATATCAGAAATTCCCTTAGTTAGAATATATGCCTAGGACATGACCAATTACATAGCTGATGCTCACATCCTGTGCTCCAATTCCAGAAAGATCATAATTCAATAACTAAATTTAGACTCTGCAGCTCAGCTTAACAAATCAACTAAGTGTATTCAATTGAAACAAGCCACAAGTCTGTCCCACCCAAAGTTATCTATTCCAAAAAGTGTAATGACTAAATGTCAGATGTGAGGAAGTGCCCAGTTCAAATCTCACCTCAACCACCACCTATGAAGATGCTTGACATGCACCACATTTCTCAGCCTCCACCCCTTTTCTGCATGGTGAGGATAATATAGGCCTGCTATAAGAATGACTAGGAGAAAGCATGTAAACCACCAGGAACATTCAAGAAATTACTACAGGAAGGCTAAGAAATTCCCCCTAACGCAAATCATCCGTTCCACATTACTGGAAACTTGGGGGCTTCAGCAGGCCAATTTCACCATCATATTTCACAACTGTCCTCAATATGCTCTCTTAGAAAGCAATGGGCGTGCTCAGATTTCATTGACAGGGAGGGATGCCTTATTTTAAACCAATGAAGCTATTTCTTCTCCCAACACTCAGGGAATACTCCAGTGTGTAGAAGCCCCTTCCTTGTCAGTGTGTCCCTATTTCATTGCCCTTGGCCATCAATTTCAGTATTAGAAGGAATAAGTGCTTAGGCATGCAGAGTCACGGAGGGAGGGTTTCATCCTGAGGTTTGGGGTAATCTTGAAAGCTATTTCGAGCCCAAGCAGGGTAAAGAGCATGTACATACTTAGGCTGTCTGATGGAAACTTTTTTTCTTTTTAAAATTCACGATACACGTCTAAATACTTGTGGAGTATACAGAAACCCCTTCGTTTATCTGTGAGTTGCTGCATTTCATTGCCTCCGTATTGATAGACACTCAACCATGAACTTTAGTATTACAGAATGAGAACGTTTTCCCATCAACTGGTATTGGTTGTGCCAAATGTTAAAGACATTTATGACAAAGGAAACCTTTCACCACAATGGGAAGAGCCCTGGTTAAGACTGGGTGATATCAGGACAGGCTACCAGTGCACTTAGCACTGGTCACATAACTGATTGCCTGTTGTTTACAAGCATGTGAAGTCCTTAAAACTAACAGTGCTGAGCACACTCTATGTGCATTTGCCAGAAGAACACTGCAGCTACATGGCAGCTGCCTTCAGAAAAAAGAAAGGAATAGTACCGCCCCAACTTGTTCATCTGAACAGAAGTAGGGATCCTTCTTTCCCTTCCCAGAGTGCCTCTATCCATCACAAGAGAGTAGGACAGAGTAAGAAGCAGGGCCTACAAAAACTCTGGACTACCTTCATGTGATCTGACTGGACTTGATCCTCTTGGGAGAAGCCTCACATATGGCCTTGTTCTTAAAAAATACGTGTTAACAGTACCAGAAAACCGTCCTCCAGAAATACCTAATGCTGTCAATTATCTTCACGTGAATGCAGTCACAGATCCTGAATGAATAATCCTGCCCTTGTATCCAGGGCAACGCACAGATGGGCTAGGGACATACGGCAGCTCTAAATAATAAACAGACAGGGCTTGCATTTTATTTATTTTTTAATAAATACAATTTACATTAAAGAAAAAGGCCTTCAGTTCATAGTTTGCACACACGGCAGAAGGGAAGGAAAAAAGATTTAAAATTTCAATCACAAAAAAAAAAAAATGGTCATCTGGGTGAGTAGGAGCTTACAGACTAGAGTCCTTCATCTCCAGCAATGGCAGGTTCTAAATAGGACAGAACCCAATCTCCAGTCATTTCCTATGGCTACTGCAGCACAAACTCTCCTTGGGCTTTTGAAAGGACCAAAAAAAAGATCATCTTCATAGCAGGTGGCAACACCTCCATTACAAAATTATATTTAAAATAAAAATATCACTCATCCACAGTTTTACAAACCATGATTCACTTACTCCCCTTCCCCACCCTTTTCAGTAAAAATGCCCTTTTATTTTTAAACTTTCTTTCCCCCCCAAAAAAATCCCTCATCATGGTGACTAGGTATTAGAAAGATACAAGCATACTTTCTTTATAACACCTGCTTGTTTTTTAAAATCTTTTTTGTTTGTTTCATATAAAACTATTGTTCTTTAGGAAAGAACTTTATACAAAGAAAATATATTGTGAAATATCTTCAGAGATCTCCACAGAGAGGAGAGTCATGTCTCAGCCTAAAAACCAAAAAGAAGAAGGCAGAGAAAATAAAGCCCAATCCACTGGTCTCTTTGTCAGAAAGCTCTGGCTGTACCAGGAACCTGCATCTGTCCACTGCAAGAACTGAAGGGCTGGAGTTCTTTAGATGTTCTCCCGAGAATTAGGATCTGAGAGGGTGCTCAATACCACCTCTTGATTTGGTCTCCTTGCTTCTTCTGAGAAGGGAGATTTCCTGCTGCCAACATCCTGCGGATGGCTACTCCTCACTCATTCAAAGACAAGATTATGTCATCTTCCAAATCCGAATTATCTGAGCTGTCAGCTGGAAAGGGGACACATTGGTTATTTGTTTGAACACTGCAAAGATCCAAATGTCAAGAGATGACAAATAAGGCAACCTGTTTCAAATCAAATATGTAACACTGTAACCACAGTAATACCAGACAGACACACAGCCATCTCTTTGAGCAGTATTTGATCCAGAAAACCAGCTACCAGCAAGCGCATTGATTCCAAAGCCCCTTTCGGGGGGAAATTGGTCAAACTGGGCTCTTCTGCCACAGGCCAGGTGCAATTTTCCAGTGTAAACAGATCACTTACCACAAGTGAGATGTCATTGTAACTTACTGAAAACACATCAGAAAAAAAATCACTACGGCAGTTTCTAAATGCTCCGTACTGCAAATGCAAGAATAAAATGACAAAGAACAGGGTGAGAATCCAAACATCAAGATCACAAGATCTCGTTCCTAAACTGAAGCATATATTAAGCATTTGTGGAGGAAAGTAAGCACCGGAATCATTTGGAGCCTTTGTGGTGTACTGGTTAGAGTGGTGCACTTCAGAGAATCCTTGGTTCAAATCCTCATTAAACCTTAAAACTCATTGGACAATACTGAACCAATCACTGACTAGCTGAGTCAAGTGGCATGAGTGGAACTGAATCCCCCCCCCCATGCAGCTTAATGTGATTACCGAAATTGGGAGTCCGCAGAAGCAGCCCTCTACCCAGGCAGAAATGCCTTCCACTAGTGAAAAACATGGTTAGAATCTAAGCCACTATCTATGACCCTAACTTACCTCACAAGGTCACCGGAGGGGGGTAGGGGTGGCCCTATGTATGCCACCATGAGCTCTTTGGAATAAGTGCAGGATTAAAATGCTATGTTAGATAAATAGATCTGTACTGTGTTTTGGCTAACCAGTCTCACCAGGAAATTATTACCAAGGGAAGTACATATAGGCATACCAGTTGCCACTTAATAGCAGCCATTTTGTCACTCAATCATTGCATAACCTATGCGAACACAGATGTCTGCCTAGTTCTATTACATATTATCAACAAAACTTTGGGTTGCTTTAAATACTAAGTTTGAAAGGCTTTCGAGATCAGGGTTTCTGGCTGAATTGCTGCCCAAGTAGGAATTTATTTTATACAGCAGGCTTCAGAGAACTGAAATAACTAGGGCTGCTACTTCTTTGTTTCTGATCTGACTCTCATGCTTTTAACAACACCTTTCCAATAGACAGGAGCTTAGTGGCATCAGCACAGGTAGAAGAGATTGGAGTACAAGATTCCCAGGCTTGCTAGCGTATCATTCCTTGAGGGTTTTTCCCCATCTTGTGGCTTTAACATTAAAGCCTAGCAGAGAATGGCATTCACACCTCTTGTCTTCATGGTAACATTTACGGTAATCTGTCTCTCAGAACAGCATCTATACTCCTGGTCAATTGATGGGTACCTTGCTAAGAACAGGGATGCAGCTGAAGAGACGGAAGAGATTGTTAACCACTGCATTGCTCATATGTCATGTCATGTACTATTCCTACTGCATTCTTTTAAATTTTGTAACCTGCCTTGAATTTCAGAGAGAATGGTAGATTATACATAAATAAATCCCTATACAGCCTGCTTCTGAGACATGCATAAGTCTGCCCAGGACCAAGGAACCACTGCAATGCTCAGAAATACGGCAGCAAGAGTGCTAACCGATAGGCAGGCAATCCTTTCTGAGAACTTTCATCTTCTGCCATTGTTAAGCAGACACTTTCATAAAGATGACAGCAAAGCATGTGCCTTCCACAACACCAAAAAAAGAATTAGGGGGCCACCCTAAGCTCAGTCGAGTGAGTTGGGTGCAGACATCTTAAGAGGTTTTCTCCAAGACTGTCTGACAAGAAAAATGAAATAAAATTAATGTCGAGAAAACACTGATAACTTTTTCGGACGTCTAGTTGGCAAATATTGGTGCAGAAACAGAGTACAATGAGTAAGAAGAAAGAGGGAGGGATCTTAGGGTTTTTTCGGGGGGCGGGGTTTGGCACAGTGGTGTTGAGGTGGGAGGGGAGAAACAGACCTATACGTTACTCACCACTTTTCATCATCTGAGCCTCAGCCAAGGCAAGAAGATAACTGTTTTTGCAAGAAGTACAGGAAATCACTACAACTGTGAGATGGGCTTAAAAGTATCGATGAAACTCAAGACACCTACTAGATTTGCATAGCGATGTCAAACCAAGGGCCAAATTTAGAACAACAACACAATGCGCAGAACACATGATGGCCTCCGGTATGAATGTAAATCAAATGTCTCACTGGTGCCATCTGTCTCTGGGGGCTCAAAGCAGAAGACAGGAGATACCATTTCAGCCACTTTTCTTATTGGAACTCTGCACAGCCCATACCATCTTACTTTCAGCCTTGGATGGACATGTTTCAATAGTGGCTGCAATCTGCATTCTTTCTATGACTCAACATCATTTTTTCTGAAGGCACACATCTCTTCCTTCAATTAGCTTTAAGACAGAGCAGTGAAGGATGATAAGGTGTGATGCAGCTCCTTTGTGCATCATGAGGTGCGATTGTGCCTTCCCTCCTTCAGTGTTCCCTTGCAAGTATGTGCACTGGAATTCCTCTGTCTCTCTCCTTTTGTTTCCCCAAATATCAGCCCTTGTTTTGGGTAGTGATTTTTAAAGTTAGATGTGTTGATCATCCACATGGTCTGTGCTTGAAGAGCCAGTCACAGCTCCGCAACATTCAGCAGTTCAGTTCATCCAAATAATGAATACGCTGTACTGCCTGTCTGTCAGGTGACTTTTCTCTTCCACTGAATCACACCCATACAGAGTCTGTGGTGATGGATACTTGAGAGAGACTGTAGGAACCATGTAGCAAACTACTGGACAAAGCAAAAAAAAGAGCCCAGAAACCATAGGCCCTATCAAGCAAAATCATCTGGCTAGTGTACATCCATTGAGAACAGCCCAGCTATTAACCATTCCTACATGGAACCTGTTTGGAAGCCTTTTCTTGTGGGATTTCCACTGAACCTTCCATTGAGGATTATTGTAGATGAGGAAGAACTCCTTTTGGAACTTGATTCTTTTATGATGTTCAACAGTGTGGCATCAGGGTGCAACAAGCACGCTGATATCACAACTGGTTCTTCACAAGAGGGCCAATGTTGTCACCCAATTCTGGATAGCCAGGCCTACGACTGCTGGAGTTTCTATACTGTTTCTTCCACATGCACACTTCCTCTCACCGTATGCTCAGTCAATCACTGTTCCATTTTCTTCTCCCACCTCTGGCAAATGTTTCCCTTCACCTCAAGGTTTTTCTCGATGCTTTCCAGCACTGTCTACATGTGAAAAAGGTACCTGGAAGAGCAATGGCAGACAAAGCCTTTCCTTCTGGAGGACAGGCATGGGTGTGAAGCAGACCCAAGGGACACCTGTCTTTGTGAGATAGCACAGTAACTGCACTGAGCTTAGCTTTCCAAATAAATACACGGACAGGCAGAACAAGGAAGAGGAAACAGTTTTTATATATTGTGGTGTTATAGACAGAAGCTACCTAGAGCCAGTGGGAGCCAGCAAAATGGACATGCAATAAAGTTGTTATAAATAATTTCAGTCACCTTTCCTTCCATCATCACTGTCCTTGGCTGCTAAGGCAAAGTGACTTGCAGGTGCACTCTGGAGCCACAAACTTATTTTCCCCAGTAATGCACAAAAAAGGAAGAATTACTACTACAAAGTGTCCATCAAGGTACAATTCTTTTTTTTTTTTAATTCGATCTGTGTAACATGTCCTGGTGGATCGGACAAAATACCTACCACCTTTTAAGAACACAGTGGGCTGACAGACAGATATACAAGAAAATCGCTGGAGACCTGACAGGCTAGTGCCCCCTGGTTCAGGAGCCTGATTGCGGAGAAGCAGTGCTGCACTACAACAAAACAAGAGAAGAAGAGCACAGATGAGTCTGCTGGCAAGATCTGCCACTCCAGACAAAATCTAAAAGGACATGCCTGGGGCAGAGGACAGCATTTTAAAAATAGTGCCTGTGGATCTCCAAGCCCCATGCACCTTACATAAAAACTAGGTAGATATTCTTCCTCTGCTGAGGTCCAGCAAATTCAGAGGGCCCAGATTTCATCCTACACCAGTTCCCACCCCCCATTGCCCCCAACACATTCCATTTTCCATGATTCCCTTTCTGGAAGAATTCCACTTTATCATCAACTAATGACGAGCAATTTTTTAAATTTGCTGTGATATATGGAAAGTGCCTCTGAGCATGCAAAGATTCGTCTCACCCTCGGCTGCTGCTGGTTTTGAGAGACATGGAATTAAGGAGAGGGGCAGAAAGACTTCATGGGTCTAATGCAGGAAGAGCTCCACCACTTCCCACAGTTTTCAGCACAGTCTACCTCCCTTTGCCAGCATTCCATAAACTGGAAACAAATTAGGGCTGCCAAGTCCCCCCGTGGGGCAGGGAAACCCCCGCCCCAGAGGCCCGTTCCCTAGCGCTGCCGGATTGGGCCCCGGGGGGAACTCCTCCTCGAAGTGTGCGTCACCAGGAAGTGACGCGGACATGCCAGGCATGCTGGGGGCGGGGCCACGGCTATACAAGGGAAAACTCTATGGTTTTTCCTTGTATGGTCGTGGCCCTGCCCCCAGCGTGCCCGGCGTCATAATGTCACTTCCCGGTGACGTGCATGCGGTGCACGTGCACTCCCGGAACCACCCAGGAGTCCCCCGCGGAACAGGTACGTCGCACTTGGCAACCCTAAAACAAATCCACATTCCCTTGACTTCATCACTCCTCCAGTCAAACAAATTTAAAGTCCAGTGGCCCCTTTAAGACCAACAAAGGTTTATTCAAGGTATGAGCTTTCATGTGCAAGGCACACTTTTTCAAATACATTGGAATGGTAGATGAGGTTCTAAACTTATAGACAGGGATTTAACAGCAAATTAACATGTAACATGATGCTGTTTAAGTTATGCAAAGTGAAAAACGAAATAACTGGTTAAGGTTACAAGGCCAACAGTTGTACAGCAATAACTATGTCAAAATAGCAGATAAATGTCTAAAGGTGTTTTTTCTAATTGTGGGAAGCAACAGAATCTTAATTATCTCCTCTCAGGCGTGGAGGGCACTTAACAGCATATTTTGAGCTGGATGTAATGTTGTCAGCAGACATCCCAATATTCCTTGCGTTCAGTATTCTAATATACTATTCTGAAAAAGAAATACACTAAACTACAGAGGATTTATAGTCCTTGTTGAGAATACATATGTGAGGACTGAATGATTAGCATATGTAATGGGATAAAAATCTAATATCTCTGTTGAGTCCTGGGGAGGTTTTTGTTCCAAGTGTTGTAATAACTTCCTTACAAAGGGACTTCAGGAACACAATGGAAAAGGAAACTGCTGAACTACAAGTTATTACAACACTTGTGCTGCCCAGGACTCAACAATTAAGATTCCGTTGCTTCCCACAATTAGAAAAAACACCTTTAGACATTTATCTGCTATTTTGACATAGTTATTGCTGTACAACTGTTGGCCTTGTAACCTTAACCAGTTATTTCGTTTTTCACTTTGCATAACTTAAACAGCATCATGTTACATGTTAATTTGCTGTTAAATCCCTGTCTATAAGTTTAGAACCTCATCTACCATTCCAATGTATTTGAAAAAGTGTGCCTTGCACGTGAAAGCTCATACCTTGAATAAACCTTTGTTGGTCTTAAAGGGGCCACTGGACTCTAAATTTGTTGTGCTGCTTCAGACCAACACAGCTGACCACCTGGATCTACTCTTCCAGCCAGTCCTTAACAATCCCTTTTCCCCCCATTACACATAGAATTTATGCCTCCCTGCTGCCTTTGGAGTCTATGACCAAATGGTCTGGGCTCATCAGAGTTAAACCCTAGAATACGTGATGATATAATTAAGGAAACCATCTCTGGGCACATGTAGGAGGATGACTTTGCATTTTCACTAATCAGCCACTGCCAACCACACACATATATACCATTAAGAGGAATAATTCAGGATTTTCAGGGCATTCACAGCATAGTTCCAATGCAAGCTGAAACCCACTACTTCTCTTGACATCATTCTGTACTACTATCCTTCTTCCCCTCCTCTTCATTTTTTTCCTTTTGAGTCTCCTCTCCCTCTGCCCAGAAAAAGACCAGGTACTCCAGAATTGGGATAGAAAATTTATAGGATGCCATCTTGTACACTGAGTTTTAATGTTTTGTATATTTTAATGTCATTATGTCCTCTTGTACATCACCCAGAGCCCGGCAAAAGCTGGGATAGGGTGATTAACTAATCATCATCATCATCATCATCATCATCATCATCATCATCTATTCCCCATCACCAAAAAATCCATGTCAGGTTCCCCCTCCTTACCTCTCATGTATTCCTTTCTTCACCAGCCAACTTTCCCCCATAATTTTCCTTGCTCATTCCTTAACTAACCCAACTCCCCATCCTGCTTTTAGCCATCAACAAAATAGAGAGTTCAGAGAGAGAGAGAGAGAGAGAGAGAGAGAGCTAAGGTAGATGGACCCCAGAGGGTGAGGCAGGGGTTCTAGCATTGGGCAGTTACAGCAGAAGTAGATCTGCAGGTAGAGCAGCCACTTTCTGACAAAAACAAAAAAAAGAGAGAGGAAAGAGAGAGAGAGAGAGAGAGAGAGAGAGAGAGAGAGAGAGCGCTGAGGTAGATGGACCCCAGAGGGTGAGGCAGGGGTTCTAGCATTGGGCAGTTACAGCAAAAGTAGATCTGCAGGTAGAGCTTGAACGTCAAGCATATGTGACCTCACAGCTTTATCATTTACTTACTGCTCATTTCCTCACATTTGAATGAACATGCTCTCTCCCTGATTCTTAAAGGGGTGGCTGGTTACCTTCATGTACCTGCATGCCTGACTTTGCAAAGCTAATGAAAAATGGGCAAGAGGGTGGCAGGGTTGGCTTAAGCAAGTGCCCTTCCATTGTGCTGGCAAGCAGCTAACTTTGGAGGAGTACTGCAGCTTGAGCCTACAGCATATTTACTCACAGATAAGCCCCATGGAGTCTAATGTGACCACTACCAAATATACGGAGACTGAGAAGCTACACTGCGGTTACTGAATCTCAGCAATTTCCATTCATCAATTATTTTTACTTGACACTGGTAGGAAGTGGGGATCCATCATATTCTTGTTTGGCACTCAGGAAACCAACGTAAGGGAAGTACTGGCAGCTCCAGAATCTACATGGAAAACCCACGGCTACAAGGCACAAGTGTTACATGCAGCAAGTGCAAAGACATGCACATAATCAAACAGCCACCCAATCAGGGTTCCCGGACAGGTTTTTAAAGATGTGTTTATGTTGTACATACTTTACCTGTTTTCTGTGGGGAAACAGACATATACACCCAGCTATCAGTTTTACAACCCAGATTATGGAACTGCCCTTAAATAAATTGGCTCATTTAATTCAGGAATCTGAGTGCTGGGGGGGGGGGGGGGAGAGATTTTTCTGCAAGAGATTAAAGTTTGGGAAATGTAGGGGGAAATCGTGATTTAGCTTCCTGGAGGTGTCTTAATTGGGGGGGGGGGAGAGATTTCTTCCTCAATGAAGCGGTTTCACCACTATTAGAGGATATTCCAGAATTTTGGGGGACCTTTCAGTTTTAATAGCTTCTCAAGCTAAAAAGGAAGTGAACCATTTAACACTTCTTATCAGAAAGGGATGCACACGGATAACAACTATGGAAAATAAAGGCTGCTGGCTCACCAGAGTCCCACACCACAGCCTGAGCTGTAACGGGAGCTAAAAGCTCTGCATCTAAATCATCAAAAAGGTGTTGAGGGGGAAGCAGGGGCAGGCTTTTCTATGAGCCTCTGAACAAGACAAAAAGACAGAATGAAAGCTGACACACTGGCCTGGGCTTATTTGTGCAAACCAGTTCCTACTTCTGTGATGTCAGAAGTGGCTTCCTCAGGGCTATATATACTTACTATCACCAAGGATGAGCTCAACTTCCTCATCTGCATCAGAATCTTCATCCTCTCCTTCATCCCCCTCTTCCAGCAGGTTGGCCAATTCCTCATCATCAGAAGGAGAGAAGTCATTTTCTCCATCCTCACCCGCATTCTCATTGGTTTCCTCTTCCTCCAAATCGGCCTCCAGCAGCTGGTCAGTGTCCAGTTCGTCAAGATCATCTGTGTCATCATCATCCTCATCATCATCCTCTTCTTCCTGTTCTTCCTCCTCCTAGAGGGAGATCAAAACAGCCATAACAACTACAAAGTCTGAAAGGATGATGTGCAGATGTACAGTCATTTGTATCTTCCAAACTAATGGTGTGGGTCTTCCAAACAATAATTGCACTCAAAAGCACAGGCCTTTCCTTCTTCCACCAGCAGCCTCTTGAAGCATTCACAAAGCTGGCGCTTGAAGTTATGAGAAGTACTATAAACAAAATATAGCAAGGAGCAGCTCTGAAAAGGGGGAATGGGACTACAGTGTCCCTGCTTACCTCTCCATGGGTGTTTTTACGGACTCAAGAGGATCTGTTAGCATGAGAGGGAAATGGGAGTGATCACCTGATCCTTTCTCTTTACAGCTGTCATGCACACCATGACTCCCATGACAGCAAGCTTCACCTCTTTCAGAGGTCTACTAGGGAAGTGGAGAGATCTGTGACTATATGTGACGTCTGCTTGTAGGAACCAACCCAATGTACATTCAGAGTTTAGAACTGCTTTTCCCTGCTTTCCATGGAATGTGACAAAGTTCTTGATCATAAAGGTAATGTTACTGAAGGCCAATGCACAGTTGGAAAAGGCTGAATGGTGATAAACTCCCCGTTACATTGCCAGTGGCTCATCACCTATAGAATGCTACAGAGGCTGCTGAACAGGCACCAATAATAGCAAATGGCTCTGGTTACTATCAACATAGCTAATATCAGCGGCTGTACATAATGTTTCAGTATCAGCCTGATCACTCTGAATTAGTCAGCACAGCATTTTTAAGCATTTGTGTCAGGCTGTTGTCTAAGCTCATTAGCACTCTTGTTGAAATACACAATTTTGTCTTGCGTTTCAATGTGTGGCAAATAAAACACACTGAAATGCAAGACTTAATTATATATTTCAACATAGAGTGCTGCATAAGGAGTTCAGACAGACAACAGCCCTACACAAATTAAATTCCCATAAAGCCGAAACCACACGGTGGGTTTTATGAGCACATGTCCTTAGCACAGTCCAATGACGTTAAAGAAGCAAGCGCAACTCTTGATACTCTATCAGTCCTGTAAGATTTATTTATGGCCTGTAATTCAAATCTTACGGGCCTTCAAACATTTACATAGTTTACAAATAACTCTGTGAAACACTTTCTGATCAGGACAAACATCTTCTAGGTATGCTCTATCAAGATCAACTGGCTCAGGCTTTCATTGGCTAAGAGAAAAACAAGCTTCCATCATCCTTCCATGACGAAGCATTCTGCTCACAGGCACATGGAAATCAGGAACAGCTCTGGCAAAGAAGAAGCATGTTTCAGTTTATGGGAAAAACATATCTCCAAATACTGCTGTATACCTGAAATTTCACTTCCATCTGTACAACGGAACTGATGAGACCCAGCTGAGCTCTGAGCAGGAGCAGGAGACAGAGGAGTGAGTGTTTTTTAACTTTCTTTCAGCTGAGGTGATTCAGCTGAGGATATTGTGTGGGAGAACTGGTCTGGGAGTGAGTGACAGCGCTTAGAGTTGTTGCAGAGTCCTGGCTGCTTGAGAGAGGGAGAGGAAGGGGCATTGTTTGACTGTGATTGACTGCAATTCAGTATTTGAGAAAGCACCTTGGCAGAGGCATGAGTAGCCTAGGGACTCTTGGACTAGGGGCTCTGTGAGAAGCCCAAGAAGAGCCAGAAAGCCAAGGCCCTAGGCTCTTTGGCTTCCCTGTAAAATAATTTGACTTCGACAAGAAAAACCACATAAATACAAAGGGTTTTTCTTGGCAGAGGCATGAGTAGCCTAGGGACTCTTGGACTAGGGGCTCTGTGAGAAGCCCAAGAAGAGCCAGAAAGCCAAGGCCCTAGGCTCTTTGTCTTCCCCGTAAAATAATTTGACTTCGACAAGAAAAACCACATAAATACAAAGGGTTTTAAAAGGGGGATTATATTTACCTATTTTAAAAGAATTATGAAGCCAGAATGCCAGAAGGGGGTTGGGGGCTATCCAGTGTTTTGCACAGAG